TGCTTTGAGGAACATGACTTTGAAACAGAAAAAAGGATTACGATGATAATTTCTGTGAAAGAACACTTGCACATGCTTGCAGACGAAATTTCATCGTACTTTCCAAATATACCTGACACCCCATTTGAACTTGCCAGAAGCCCATTCACAGTCAAAGTTGAAGATGTTCCTGAGACAGCAGAAGAGGAGTTCATTGAACTTATTAACAACGATGCAGCGAGAACTGATTTCTCTACAATGCCAGTTACAAAATTCTGGATCAAGTGTTTGCAGTCATATCCTGTTCTGTCTGAGACTGTGTTGTGCCTTCTTCTTCCATTTCCAACAACATATCTTTGTGAAACAGGATTTTCCAGCTTGTTGGTTATCAAGTCTAAATACAAAAATAGACTTGTTGTGGAAGATGTTCTTCGTTGTGCTCTTGCAAAGACTGCCCCGAGAATTTCTGATCTGGTGAGAAAGGAGCAATCTCAACCTTCACACTGATGTTGGCTTTTTACGCATACTGTCGCAAAATGTGGTAATGTAGTTTACTGTTATGTTAAGACTTGTTACCTGTGCTAACACCATGCTTCAAGACAAAATTTCATTTACTTGTAATTAGAAATAAATATTTCACAATATATAATTACATATTGTTTTTATGATTAATCACTATGCTTTAATTGTTTAATTTGTAACAATGAACATGCATCCTGCATATCAGATATTTATATTACAATTCGTAACAGTAGCAAAATTACAGTTATGAAGTAGTAACGAAAATAATTTTATGGTGGGGGGTCACCACAACATGAGTAATTGTATTAAAGGGTCGTGGCATTAGGAAGGTTGAGAACCACTGCTCTAGGGGTTGAAGGGTCATTGCTCTAGGTAAGAACAGAAGAGGCTCCCTCATTCATAGATTGTGTGAATTATGCTAAGGTCAAGGCAAAGGCTGAGCCAGGCCTGCTTCTCAATTGGTTGAATCTTCACAGTAATACTATAGGGTAAGGGGAGGTTTGTAAAGAAGGGGCTGCAGGCACTGCAGAGAGACATTCTGTGTTGGGCTGTGCTTGGGGCCCCTATGATGTCCAGCACTGGGCTCTGACCTCTAATGAGGACACTGTGCCCCCTGGCACCTTTGACACCCAGGGGTCTGAGGGGCCCCAGCTCCAGGGAGGTGTTGCAGCTGTAACTGTTTGCCACACCTGGTCCCCTGTGTCCCTGCCTGCAGCTCCTTTAGTGGCACCCCTTGGGCTTCCTGCTGTTTCCCTCCAGAGCAGTTGTGACCATGGCCGAGAGCATGATGGGGCAGGCGCACCACTACTACACACACACTGGGTTCCTGGCCATTGCACAGCACTTTAAGCAGAAGCCCAACGAGCACATGATCTCCTGGATCCTGTGGGTGTATGACCAAGGCGGCTTGGCCCTGGCCCTGAATTCCCAGGCGCTGGCACTGCTGGGTGACCTGACCAGCAACACCATCTTCAACTGCCTCTATAAGGGTCTGCGGGGCAGCCGCAAGGCGCTACTCACCTGGCCACTGCAGGCCTGGCTCCAGCGCTGGCAATCCTTCCTGCACTTCGAGGTCACCGAGATGCCCTTCGGGTCCTGGACCACCATGGAGCAGTGCGTCCAGCTGGCGCGCCAGCTGAGCATGCTGGAGTGGATCTACCGTGAGCCTGCATCTGAGCAGGCACCATGGCCTACACCTGAGGACATGCCCTTCACACAGGGCCTGTGTGGGCACCTGCTGGCACTGGCCAGGTCCTCCAAGATGCAGCTGCCGCTGGTCGGCCTGCCATTCAAGGGCATGACAGTGCTGGAGGTGATGATGGAGGTCCAGGAGAGACCAGCTCAGGGACCACCTGAGCTGGCTCCTGAGCCATGACGTGTCCCAAGGAGAGGGTGGACAAGCAGTCCACCAAGGTCCTCCTGGACCTGTATGTCAAGGAAGCCACACGTAGCCGCAGCCTCCCAGCCTACATGCTGGAGGAAGAGCAGCCCCCGCCTCCCTGCTACTCCATCAGGGCCTGTGGGTAGGAGAGCCCATGGCTCCTTACCTGCCTCTGGGCCCTATCTAGGAGCCCTAGTTTCCAGGGCAGGGAGATGCAGACTCCCCTGAGGGACCGCCCACCTTTTTGTTTTTAAAATGTAAGAGTTGAGTATTTCTTAATATATATATTGATGGAGGTAGAAACATCGATGATGAGAATCATTGATTGGTTGCCTCCTGCATGCCCCCTACTGGGGATCCAGCCTGCAAGCCGGGCATGTGCCCTTGATCAGAATCGAACCAGGGACCCTTCGGTCCGCAGGCTCTTCACTGAGCCAAACTGGCTAAGGCTGATCTTGAGTTTTTTATGGGCAGGCCACCCTCACCTAGTTTTGAGGAGCCCAGAAGAATAAGGTGTCCTTGCCCCAAGTAGCTACCTCATGGGTGTCACTGGCTGGCCACAGTGGTTCTGTAGAGAACCCAGCAGGCCTCTTACATTTCAGCTGAAATAGCATGTTGGGTGGGCACCCCCTTGGGCCCCCAAAGCACTACAGGCCCAGCAGGAAGACCCCATGGCCTACAGCATGAAGTTTGCACTGTTTTTGTTACTTGTTAATGCATTGTTTTAATACTTGAAGCATATACAGCACTTTGGGTTTAAGCACACTCTTCTCTGTTTTGATTTTTCTCTTAAGACTGTTTTGTTTGTAACGCCTTTCCCTTCTGAAGCCTGCCTGCTGTTTGGTCACCTGGGGAAGGGACTGCCAGGCCAGTCCCAGTGTCTCTAGCTGCATGTGTGGTTTCTGGCCAGTGTCTGGGTTAAATGTTGGGACCAGAAATCCCGCTGAGGGTGGGGAGTGAAGGCTTAAATAGTGAGCATCGCTGCATATGAACTGTGGTGCTTGACGCGGCCCCCCTGCAAAGCCATTTCCAGAACCCTCATGGGGCAGGGTTCTGGACACGCCTGTCTCCATGGGCCCTACTGAGAGAGCTATGATCTGTCAAGCCCTGGGAGCCGCCCCCAGCAGCCGGGCAGGGAAACCTAAGGACTCGGGCCTTCCCTGGGTGAGAAGTAAGAAGCTGCGTCCCTCCCAGGACCAAGTACAGAGGGCATCTGGGTGTGGCTGCCTCGCTTCTAAGGCCTGTTCTAAGACGATGGGTGTGATGGGGTGACAAGGCTACCTTCAGAGTCCCGGGCATGGTCCCCTGCCCACAGCGCTGTGAATTGGGTAGACCCGGCTTTCTCCTCTCAGCCTAGGGGGCTCTGCACCCTGTTTTCCCCCGTTGGAAGATCCTGGTAGCTGGGATTGACTTCTAGCCACAACCTCCCCCCCACCCCACCTCCAGGTCTCCAACTCTACCATTTGTAGTGGGCACTGAGTGGCTGCCTGCTACACACCAACACCCCCGCCCCCAGTGTTCTGATCTGGGGTGTTCACCTGATGCCTGGCTGGTGGGAAGGGCAGTGGCTGCAGGACCGTAAGTGCTGTCTGGGTCCTACACCCGCTGGGCCCACCAGCCACGTGTGGCCGTCAGCCATTGAGATGTGGCTGGGACCTGAATCTTATTCAAATGGCCGGATGGCAGTCCTGAGAACGGTCCATCCGCACCTACTCTGCTGGTCCTGGGAGGTTAATTTCAGAGGTGCTACGGTCTGAGTCCTGACTCGCCCTGAGATGGGAGCGCAGATGCCAATGGCTCCCCGAGTCACACAGCCTCGGGCTTGGTCCTGAGCAGCCTTGGGGCCGGGCTTAGCTCTCCAGATACAAGACAGGCCTGACCCCACCCCAGGAGCTTAGAGGGCCGGAGGTGCCACTTGTTCCCTGGGTATCGAGTCTAAGAAAGCTCAGCCTTGTTTCTCACACCACATGTGCTGTACCTACTAATACCATCCCGACATCACCACCACGTGCCATCATGCAGGTAGAGGTACGCCCCTAGAGGCACCTACACACACCAATACAGATTGCACGTGTGCACAGGGGCCTGTCAAACATGCAGATACGTGCCATCACATGCAAAATGTTCAAATACCTACACATGAACTGCATGTGTGCACAAGCCATGTACGTGTGTGCACACAACCGCTTGCGACTTGCAGGCCTGGGAGCCCTGTGTGTCCGTTTCTCCCCCACTCCCCTCCCCACGCACAGGCGCGCACAGTAAGTCACGGAAGCTGGTACAGCGGGTGAGCACACATGTTGGGGTCCAGGGTCAGCAGTGGGGAAGGGGTGCCCAGTTTCGCGGCTCACACAGGGTCTCCCCAGGCCCGCAGGCAGCCGGGTCTCCAGGCCAGCAAGCCCAGCCCTACGCAGAGCGCCGCCAGCATGGCCACAGCCCCAGCCAACAGGGGCACGACGGTGGCTGCAGGGAGAACATGAGGGGTGAGTCTCTGGACTTGAACCCTCCTATTCCCACCCCAACACCAAGGGCCTCACCCGTGGGAGTGGCAGGCTCATGGGTGCCATGGCAGGGGACCCCGTGAGCTGGAGGCCGGGCCGGGGCGGTCAGCTGGCGGAAGCGGCCTAGTGGGCAGGGGGCTGGGCACCCGGGGAGGCTGAGGCTCAGGGGCCGGCCGGTGGAGTCGTTGCGGTAGAAGAGGGAGACGGTGACGTTCCTGCAGAGAGAGGAGGCGTGGCAGCAAGGCTCCTCACCTCCCCTGCCACTGACCTCAAATCTAGACAAGCATCTGAATGGAGGAGCTGGGCTCCTGGCCACCCGTCACCCTCCTGATGGCCCCCCTGGCCAACTCCCCCTCCAGGCCGGTGCCCGGGCGGCCCTCTGCCTGCCACCATCCCTCCTCTGGAGAGCTCTGCCCGCCCGTTCCCCGGCGCCACCCCTCCTCACCCGGCATCTTCGTCGTCGTCCTCATTGAGGTCCCCCAGGCTCCTCCGGAACTCGAAGCCCAGGCAGGCAGCGTAGGGCGGGGTGCGCCCGTCGTAGAGGCCCAGGGCCCCCTGGAGGGAAACCCAGCCCCCAAAGCTGCTCACCCTGAAGGCAGTCCCACCCGGTACAGGGAATCATTCAATAAAGATTAGTCAAATGGCCCCGCTAGCGTGGCTCAGTGATTGAGCGTCGATCTGTGAACCACACGGTCAAGGTTCAATTCCCAGTCATGGCACATGCCCAGGTTGTGAGCTTGATCCCCAGTGTGGGGCGTGCAGGAGGCAGCCGCCGATCAATGGTTCTCTCTCATCATTGATGTTTCTATCCCTCCCTCTTACTTCCTCTCTGAAATCAATAAAAATATATTTAAAAAAAAAAAAAACATTGGTCATGGCCCTAACTGGTTTGGCTCAGTGGATAGAGCATCGGCCTGCGGACTCAAGGGTCCCAGGGTCGATTCCCGTCAAGGGCATATACCTTGGTTGCAGGCACATCCCCAGTTGGGGGGTGGGGGGGCAGGAGGCAGCTGATGGATGTTTCTCTCTCATCGATGTTTCTGACTCTATCCCTCTCCCTTCCTCTCTGTAAAAAATTAATAAAATATATTTGAAACAAAACAAAACAAACATTGGTCATGGCCGCAAAACATGATTGGGCAGCTCAATTCAACAGCCTGCCCTCCTAGAGGAGCTGAATGCTTTCTCAGAACACCATCTCCTCCCTCCTTCCAGACGCTATACCTCTAGTGATATGTCTGCAGCTATGAGTTACCCACTGGCTCTCCCTCACCCCCAATGGCCACCCACCTCATCCCTGTGCCCTCGCCACCTCCCTTGCCAAAGACTCACAGCCGAGTACATCACCATCTTGAGGGGCAGCCCCAGGCGCTGGACCCGAGAGAAGTTAGCAAGGATGGCGTCCAGCAGGATCCCTGAGGGGGCAAGACCAGGGTGCTGAGAACCCCCAGAGGGAGGTGCCCAGCCTCCCACCCTCCCCCACCCCAAACCTCACCCCCTGTCAGCTGGGCCTTCTCTGCTGCCCGGGGTGGGCCCACGTGGGCCCCAATGTCCAAAGCCGAGATCTGGGCTAGTGTCTGCAGGACATCCGGGGAGGCCCAGGACGGGAGGGGGAGACCGTGGGCTCGCTGGGGAGAGACAGGGAGAGAGGACAATGCGACCGGATGTCCTGAGCTCTTCGTGGTCCCCTCGCCCTCCCAATGTCTGTACTTGTTCCTGCGATCCTCTCTCCGCCCCCATCAGAACCCTGCACAGCTGGGGCTGGCCAGGTCAGGAGGTGGTGGCTTGGGCAGTAGCGATGATTTATATTAGTCCCCATCACCCCACAGTCCAGCAGCTCTTCCCTGAGAGCCTTGGGGCCAGAGGTGTTTCAGAATTCAGCCATTTGGGATTTTGGCCCCGACCCAGGGTGCCAGTACCACATACCTCCTAGCATCCCGTAGGGTCTGGGCAGCCCCCCAATCACACACATGGCTGGTCCCACCGTGCGGGTGGGAACATCCCCAGCAAGTGGGGGAAGCCAAGACCATGAAGAGCATCAGGCCGTGCCAGGGGCGCTGGGTTGGGGCGCTCTTTGGACGGTAGAACCACAAAGAGGAATTGCAAACACGTAGCCTCGGGCCTGAGTGCCGGCACATGGCGTGGATTAACCCGTTTCGATCTTCACAGCAACCCCAGATGGTGGTCCCTCGGTGTCCCCAGCCCCATGGTGCACATGGAGAAACTGAGGCCCTAAGGCAGCGGTTCTCAACCTGTGGGTCACATATATAATTACATATTGTTTTTGTGATGAATCACTGTGCTTTAATGATGTTCAATTTGTAACAATGAAATTGGGGGTCACCACAACATGAAGAACTGTATTGAAGGGTCGCGGCATTAGGAAGGTTGAGAACCGCTGCCCTAAGGGTTCAGGGACTGGCCTGCGGGAGCATGGCTGTTGAGCTGCAAAGCTGGGATTTGAACTCAGCTTGCCTTAGCCACTTTGCTGGGCGGAAGCTCACCTGGCACATGAGTGTGTCCAGAACCTTCCACGCCCTGCGGAGCGGCTCCCCAACCAGGGACAGCCCCGTGCAGTTCTCCAGGTGAGCCAGGAAGTCCTGGATGGACAGGGCCAGGTGAGTCCGGAGGACCACCGCGCCCGCTCCCCGCCCCATCCCGCCGGCCCTGCTCACCGTCCAGCCCTCCAGCGCCGTCTGGTACTCGGGGGCCTCCGTGGCCTCCCGCAGCAGCTCGTGGTATCGGGGACAACTGCGCGTGGGGAACCTCAGCAGCTGGGGGAAACTGAGGCTCAGAGAGGACAGCAGCACGACTGGGGGTGGGGGAGTCGGGGCTGTGGCCCGTCTCTCCCAGGCCTGGCTGCGCAGCATGGGGACAGGGCTCACCCGTCCGGACAGCTCGGCCCCAGGAGCTCCTGCTGCTCTGACTCAGGCTCCCGGGAGCCGCCCTCCAAGCCCTGCACCTCCTCTCCTCCGGGCCTCTGCCTCTCTCCGTGCCTCCCACCCCTGGCCCTCCCCAAACCCCCTGACCTTGTCCTCAGTGACCGGCACCGTGTGCACAGGGATGGGCCTCCAGGCGGCCTCAGGGCGCCCCGGGCCGGCCTCGGGGAACAGCCCCGCCAGGTTGGCCTGAGCGCTCTCCAGTGTCCGGTCAAAGTCGGTGCTGCGGACGTACACCTGGGGTGGGAGGGGCAGGCAAGGGGGCGACGGTCACAAGGGGGGACCACAGTGGGGGTCAGAGGTTAGCTGCAAAGCTTTGGATTCACTTTGGGGTCGAAAGGGGTCAGGAGTCAAAACATCAGGTCAGATTTGAATGTCTGAACTTCAGTGTTGGAAGTTGGAATCCGAGGTCAATGGGTTGGAGGTCAGAGATTGGGTGGGTGTGTAGGATTAAGGGGGTCAGCTGAGTCATCGAAAGTCAAAACGGAAGATCAGAGTGGATGCTGGCTGGAAGCTGGAGCCAAGATTAGGAGAGCGGGATGGAGGACATGGGGTCAGAGTTCAGTACATATCAGAGGTCAGAGGTCAGGAGGAATGATCCTAATTAGGGGATGTCAGAAGACAGAAGAGGAGATAAGAAAGGAAAGATTTGGTGAAGGGTAGAGGTCAAAGGTTGGAGGTCAGGAGGGCAAGTTGATTCAACGAAGGTTAAAGACAGACTCGGTCAAGTTTTGGGGTGAGAGGATGGAGATCAGAAGGTCTGGTTGGCGTTGGTGAGAGTGAGAAGACAGAGGTGAAGGCCAGAAAATAAAGCTGGAATTGATGGAGGTCAGGGGTCAGAGGTCAAGGTGTGACCAGATTGGGATGAGGTCAGAGATCAGGTCAGAAGTGGATGCTTTGAGATCAGAGATCAGACATAGGTGCAGACCAAATTGACGGGGATCGAAGGCCAGAGGTGGAGGCCCAAGGAGCGCATGGGAGTCAGCAGGGGTCAGAGGTGGGAGGTCCGGGGGCCAGGGAAGGTCGACATGGCAGTACCTCCTCCCGCCGGTACTCGGGGCTCAGAAAGGCCTCGTAGCGACTCCTCAGGAAGCGGCCCAGCTCCAGCTGCTGGCGGACCCCCTCCTGGGGACAGAGCAGGCTCAGCAGACCCCTCCCCACCCGGCCTCACCACTCAAACCCACCCCCAGCTTCTCACCGCGGTCAGCTGGCCCAGGCCGCGCGGCCACAGGGTGGACACGGCCTC